CCCCGGAGCACCCACGCGGGCCGGGGTCCCCGGGGCCGGCCGCCCGCGCGCGGCGCACGCCGCCAGCCGTGCCCACACCCGCCCCCACCGTGCCAGCCTCGCTGGGACTTTCCCTTTCAGTTTCGGGGAGGGTGGGCACTGGGGACACGCCGGGGAGGGGACGCGGCAGCCGCCGCTTCTGCCGCCCCCTGCCCCGACCCGCCGCGCTCTCGGGACGACCCGTAGCCCCAGCGCGAGCCCGGTGGGGGGGGGGGGGGAGGAGGGGGTGACCGCGGGGTCTCCGCGGAGGGGGCCCAGCGGCGGCTGTCACGGCCCCCGTGCCCCGGCAGGTCTGTGAGGAGCAGAAGTGCGAGGAAGAGGTCTTCCCGCTGGCCATGAACTACCTGGACCGCTTCCTGTCGCTGGAGCCCGTGAAAAAGAGCCGCCTGCAGCTGCTGGGGGCCACCTGCATGTTCGTGGCCTCCAAGATGAAGGAGACCATTCCCCTGACGGCCGAGAAGCTGTGCATCTACACTGACAACTCCATCCGGCCCGACGAGCTGCTGGTAACCTGGGACCCCCCACCGCCCACCGACGCCCCAGGACCCCCAGGACCCCGGGGGTGGGGGAGGTGCAGAGGGCAGGAGGACCCGCGGGCCGCCGACACTCCCTATGCCCCATGGGCGGGCGGCCGCTCGGTGGGGCCCCCCTCGAGGAGCGGGCGAGACCCCCGCCGCCCCCCAGCCGCGGCGCCCCACCGCTCGCGGTCGGTCGCTCCGACTCCCACACTCCCACTCGGCTGCGCCCCTAGCGCGGCCGAAAAGTGGGCGGCGCGCGCCCTCTAGCGGCGACGACGCTGGCGGCCCGCGCTGGCTACCCGGTCTTGCGTTCCAGGTGGGGGTCATTTTGGGGCCCGACCTGGGAACAGTGGGCCTTTTTGTCCACGTCACTTTCTCTTTGGGGACCTCTTTGGGGATGGCCTGCTCTCCCCCACCTCCTGGGCCCCCAGCATCCCTTATCCCTTCTCTCCTGGGCCCTGCCCCACGGAGGGGAGGGGCAGGGGCTGCCCCTGCACCTCTATTTACCCTGGGTCACCCCACGTTCACAGCAAATGGAGCTGGTCCTGGTGAACAAGCTCAAGTGGAACCTGGCCGCGATGACCCCGCACGACTTCATCGAGCACTTCCTCTCCAAAATGCCCGTGGCCGAGGAGAACAAACAGATCATCCGGAAGCACGCGCAGACCTTCGTCGCCCTCTGTGCCACAGGTAGGGCAGCTGGGTCCTGCTGGCCCCGGTCTCCCGGGGTGCCTCTCACAGGGGCTCCTCTTCCTTCCTCGGGCCGTGCGCTGGGGCTAGATGGGCTGGGGGGGGGGGGGTGCCCTCCTGGGGTCGGGCAGCGGAGACTGGCCACGGCCACCACGCAGCGCCTCGGGGATGGGTGTGGGTGGGTGGCCAGGCCGCGGCCACTCCATGCTGAGAGAGGTTGACCTTGGCTGCCCAGCCTGCCTCCCCACTCCCGTCCTCCCGCCCCCCCCAAGACACACACACACACACACACACACACACACACACACACACACCAGTCCTTCCCCATGTCCTCAAGGGGCCCCCTTCTGGCCTCTCCCGGGCTGGGCCACCTGCCAGGGGCGCCTACAGGGGTGGGGAGTGCCGGCCCGCGGTGCCTGCACCACGTGCTCTGGGCGGCCAGCAGCAGCCCTCGTGCGGGGGCGGCCAGCAGCACAGCTTGGCCGCCAGAGGCCCCGCCAGGGGTGCCTCCGGCCGGCTGGGCTCAGCTGAGCCCTGGGAGGGGCTTCAGATCGGCCGGGGCTTGGGCCGCCACGGTTGGCAGCAGGGGGCCAGTCTTCTCCCCCGCTGGCAGGGCTCTGGATGGTCCCTGGAGGCCCCTGCCTGACACTGCCCTGGCCCGGGCCCTGGGACAGCCAGCCTTTCAGAAGTCAGGGCAGGCAGACGCGCGCCCGGTGTTGCCTTGTCTCCCCCGGGCCCTGACCCTGACGCCGACCCCTTTCTTTCTCCCTCTGATCACGTGGACTGGGCCCAGCAGACCTGGAGAACCCTGCCTGGGGACCCACGTCCTCATCCCAGCCAGCTCCACACTGGGCCACCTCCGCCCCGGGTCAGGCCTCAGACATCGTGTGGGGCTCCCCCAGTCTGTGGGCCACGCAACATCAAAGGGGGGGGAGGTTGGCCTCTTTCACCCCCTGCCCGGGAGCGGTAGAGCCCCTGTTCCGACATCTCCCGGCACCCTCCCGCTGTCCGGGTGCTCTGGTGGCTGGCATTTCCGGGTCAGGCGAGAGTCTGCCGGCTTCTCCACCCTGCTCGTCCTCCTGCACAAGGCACGAACCCCTCCTCTGAGCCTTCCCAAGCAAGGGGAGTGGGGGGGCACACCATGGGCCCTGACGGATCTGCGGGGTGGTGGCTCCAGCCCTCTGGCAGGGGTAGGGAGCCTCCCGCGGGCCGTCCCCTCGGCCTCCGGGGGCCAGCCCCTCAAGCAGGCAGGGAGGCGTTCTCTGGCTGGGGCGCCTCAGAAGACAGAGGCCTCCGGAGACTTCCAGGCAGCCTTTTAAGGAGCTGAAAGTGGTTCAGAGAAATGGCAAAGTTTCCTGGAGATCATGCAAGGAACAGTTCTTGTACACCCTCCCCCCCCAAGGATGGCTGGGGCGGCTTGGAGTTTCCCCTCTCCCAGAACCCCGCGGAAGTGGGGTGTGGAGCCCTCGTGGGGTGCTGGCAGTGAGGCGAGCGAGCCTGGTGCGGAGGCCGTAAACGCGCTTTGGTGCTGGCTGTCCAGCTGCCGCGGGCCGCCGTGCGTAAGCACGCGGGGCCTCTGAGACCGTGCCCAGCAAGCACCACCACCCCCCGCCCCCAACCTGGGGCCTGCAGGGTGCATCCCAGGCCCCGGTGCCTGGGGTCCACCCGGAGGGAAGGTGCAGCGATGGCTGGCTGGCTGCGACAGCTTTTCACATGCGTTACCTCCAGGGCGGGCCCCCCCGCCCCCCACTGCGGGAGACAGGCGGCCGGGGGAGGAGAGGGTCACCTGCCCATCCGTGCCCCTCCTTGGAAAGATTCTCGGTCCAAATCCTCACCTGCACGGTTGCAACATAGCCGAGGCGCAGCCGGGCCCTTGGTCACGAGGGGACCACTCTCTCTGGAGTAACGCGGTGGCAGCTCAGAAACAGAAACAGACTGGCGTGAGGGGGAAGTGTAAGCAAAGGCCCCCAAAGATGTTTTTGTCTGCCACGGGGCCAGGGTCCCGCTGAACAGTGTCATGAGTGGGGGGGGGGGGGGTCTCTGCTCTCCGTGCTGTGTGTGCCTGCAAACTGGGCCTCCCGCGTATCTGCAGATGTGCACGTATCCCAATCCGCACCGCGGTGGGTTTTCTGTTAACGTATACGCCTGCGTGTGCACTGGAGCCTTCCGGGGAATCGCAGTGGGCTGGGTAAAGAAACTACAGGTGCTGCTGGAAGCGGACAGAAAAATCGAGTCTAACGGATGGGTCTGAGCAAGGGTCAGCAAACCCGCACAGCCCCGGCGGCTGCTGTGGCAGTGGCCCCAGGCTCTTTGCACTGGGCGCCGAGTCAAAGTGTTGGACGATATAGTCAGGTTGTTCCTTACCTACATACGTGCACACACACACACACACACACATATACCTTATCTACACACATAAGCCCCACACCGCAAATGCACACATATGCTTCAGTGGGGACGTGGGCTTCAGGAGCGAGCCCTCCCCCCGTTACACCATCCGTCTTGGACGGGAGTCTCGAGCTCCAACCAAATTGTTGCTGGGACTGCAGCAACTTGTTTTTAATGTTTATTTTTGAGAGCATGCAGGTGAGCAGGGGAGGGGGAGACCGGGGGGGGGGGGCGGCCAGGGCATCCCAAGCAGGCTCCGCGCTGACAGCAGAAAGCCCGATGCAGGGCTCGAACTTGGGACCTGGGAGATCACGACCTGAGCCGAAGTCGATGCTTAACCCACTGATCCACCCAGGTGCTCCTACAGCCCTGAGGTGCCTCAATGACAAGCTTTTCATTCATGGCTCTCCGCTCAGACTGGGTGGAAATGCTACCATTTATTTAATATTTTTTTTCTTTAAAACTTTTTTTTAACATTTATTTGTTTTTGAGAGACAGAGAGAGACAGAGCATGAGCAGGGGAGGGGCAGAGAGAGAGGGAGACGCAGAATCGGAAGCAGGCTCCAGGCTTCAAGCTGTTGGCACAGAGCCTGACGTGGGGCTCACAAATTCACAAACTCACAAGTTGCAAGATCATGACCTAGGCCAAAGTCGGACGCTTAACCGACTGAGCCATCCAGGCGCCCTGGAAATGCTCCCATTTAAAGAGGGAAAGAGGGGGGCGGGCCTTGTTAGGTGTTTCTTTTTCAAGTTTCCACGGTGCCCGGCAGCGGGCTCTGTTCCCCCTCCAGGGTGGCTTTCTTCCCCAGCCTGCTTTGCTGGCAACGGCACAGCCTGATGTCTCCTCCCAGGACGAAGCCTCAGCTAGGCTGCTGGGGACACGCACCCTGGCCCACGGGGTCCCCTCCTTCCATGCTCAGCTCACCCAGCCTGGCCCTGTGCCCCATGCGTGTAAGATGAGGCAAAGGGGCTGAGCCCCCGATCGAGATTCAGGACTCGGTGGCCTCCCCCACCAAGAATTCCTGGCTCTGTGTCACAGAACGGCAGCCCACGGGGCACCACGTGGCTGCTTAAACATCCTTCCTGCTTTGCCACCTTTCCGTAACAAGTGTGGCGAGTGCTGGCCTCACCCTGGGAGCAAAGGCAGGGGTTCCGCCCTCGCTGAGCTGTGCCTGGGGCAGAGGGGTCGGCATGCTGGTGACTGGCAGGGGGATAAACAGAGGATAAGCATCCAAGGCCACCACTGCAGGACCACTGACCACTGCCCCCTGCACATGCCCAGAGGGCTGCCCTGGGGAAGGTGAGACAGGTGCACCCCTCCGAGAGTACAGGCTGGGTCCCTGGAGGCCTGGCGGGCCCGTCTCCAGTCCCTGTGGCCCCGCAGCATGCCTTCTCCCTTGTAGGTTTGTCACCTTTTGGAATGTGAATAAGCAACACGTTCCCAGGGCTCCAGTATAGCGACGCCCCTCCCCGCAGGCCTTTGCGGTTTGTTCTCTGCCGGTGTCCCAGCTCCAGCTGGGTGCAATGCAGGGCTGGTGGGACCACGGGGTCCCGGGGAGGCCCCCCTCCCCGCCGCCGCCCACTCACAGCCCCTCGCCTCTCTCCCTTTCTTCTGCAGACGTGAAGTTCATTTCCAACCCGCCTTCCATGGTGGCAGCGGGGAGCGTGCTGGCCGCGGTGCAAGGCCTGCCCCTGGGGAGCTCCAACAGCTTCCTGTCCTATCCGCGCCTCACCCGGTTCCTCTCCAAAGTGATCAAGTGTGACGCGGTAAGCGATCGGTTGCGCCGCTCCTACGCTGGCTTGGCTGGCCTGCTCAGCAACCGGGTACTAGAAACTTCTAGTACCCGGGGGTACCGGGTACTAGAA